GTTTTAGAGTTCAGACCTCCCAGAGGAGCAATCACTCAACCACTGAAAAAGCTAAAGATCAATGTTTTTAAGGTTCACAAGTGTGCTGTGTGTGGCTTCACCACTGAAAATCTGCTGCAGTTCCACGAACACATCCCGCAACACAAATCGGATGGTTCTTCCTACCAGTGCCGGGAGTGTGGCCTCTGCTACACATCTCACGTCTCTCTGTCCAGGCACCTCTTCATTGTGCACAAGTTGAAGGAGCCTCAGCCCGTGTCCAAGCAGAACGGGGCTGGGGAGGAGAACCAGCAAGAGAACAAGCCAAGCCCCGAGGACGAGTCCCCCGATGGCACCGTGTCAGACAGAAAGTGCAAAGTCTGCGCAAAAACTTTTGAAACTGAAGCTGCCTTAAATACTCACATGCGGACACATGGCATGGCCTTCATTAAATCCAAAAGAATGAGTTCAGCTGAGAAATAGCCACAGATGTTCCATAAGGAAAATCCCTGTCCACATTGGAAGAAAAAAGACATTTTTGTTACAAAAAGTTTGCAGTATAATAGAGTTAACAGTACTGTCCAGGCTGTTGCAATATATTCTCTTTCAATGTACCTTCTTCACCTCGTCATATATATCCTCGATAAGTATTAAAACAGTATTTGAGTTTAAAAGAGTTTGTATATATTTAAATGAATAACTTTTTATACTCTTTGTTACATGTTTGTATCAGTATTTAGTAGAAAATGTTTTGAGTTTTCTTTTGGATTAGAATTTTTCTTTTTGTACTATTTCTTTAAAACAGAGTTCTTAGTAACAGGGGCAGTTCCTGAATTCAAATAAACCATTTTGTATGTTACAAATTTGAATGGGTTAACTAATTACAGGCTAAAATAATGCCTTTTTTAGTGTTTTTAATTTTTAGAATTCACTACATAAATTGTAGGTGATTGTGGGTCTCCAACACTAGGAACTTTTAAGTGTCTTAGCACTACCCTCACCGTGCCTGCTCTGAGCAAGCAAGTGCACACTTGAGACACAGCGGCACTCCGGTGCAGGCATGGCATGTTTTTCAGGCCATGCCAAATGGTGTTTAAAGCAGCCTTGCAGGGAGCTTCTTTCCCAGCAGTGGATAAAAGTGCAGGCCCAAATCCAGCAAGGAATGTGGATTTCCTTAATTCCATCTTGAAGTAGGAAGAAGGGTGTTCTAAAGGGAAAAAAGGGGGCTGGTTGTTTTCTGGGCAAATTTGCAAGGCTGGCTTAAAGAGCACAAAGAGATAAGGTTACGAAAGGGCTGGACTACTATAAAAGTTACAAATATGTAGTTAGACCAATAGACTTATACAGTCAGGTTTTTGTCATGTAATTTATTAACTATTACAGATTTACAACTAGGAATATCAAGTATTTCTCCGGCTCTTGACAGGAAAAAAAAAAAA